TTTAAATGTGAAAAGAAATGCCAATTGCTTTTATCATACAAGATACAGAAAATAAATTTCAAGAAAATGTTCTTCCCTGGTGAAGCTTGAGTTTGAGGGAAATGTGTGGAAAAACTGTTTTATTGTCCTCTGATTATTTAAATTTTTCATTTTAATTCCGTGGCATGTGTGCTCTTTATTATAAGTGATTTCCAATTCCTTCTGGAAGTAGAGAATAAAGTAGAAAGCAACACTGTACTTCAGATTAAATGTAATTTGTGAAGATCGATGACTAGCTTCCGGCCCCCACCTCACCCTTCCCTGCCAGCTCCTCTTCTAGGGCTCATCCTGGGAAACAAAAAGATCTGACACTGACCTTCCAAATGACTACAATGACAGTGAAACCTGGTCCCAGAATGCCTCCCCAGCTCTGGAATCTCCATCCTCCATGCTTATCCTCTCTTCCCAGGACAGTGAGTCCCAGTGCTTATCAAGGAAGCTTCCTGGGCTGATATTTCAGCAGACACCACTGATTTCTGTGCTATTTTTCCTTCGGTAATCCCCGTAGCACTGTGCCTAACAGCACACAGTCAGGAAATCTTAGATTGTGGCACCAATAATGGTATATTCATCTTCAAAAGGGCTTTCTTCATTCAAAGGAATAAATGTGAATTGTTAAAACTTCAGGAATTGGGTCAGGTTGGTCAGAAAAAATTCCAGGCAAGAGGACTTTTTCATTTCCCTTCGATAAGCATGCAGAGGTTAGGTCTGGAAAGTGGGGCCACTTTGTATCCATATACAATGACTTCTCTTTCCCTCCAATTTTATCTTTTCTTTTTCTTTACAAGTCTCTGTTCTATTATTCTACTTATTTTTTCTTATTTTACCCCATTTTGACTTATTCCTGGGACATTTAAGGAAACTGCCTGATCCCTATGACCTATTCAATGAAAGCAAAAACAAATAACAACAACTACAAAAACACTGACTTCATTTTAGATAAAAAGATTTGAGTCCAGTTACTTATTTCAGCAACCTCACGGACAAAGAAAACCCTATGAAACAATCAGATCCTGAACTCTACTGAAAATTATATACATGCAAATTGTATACTTTGTCCAAATTTGCTGAAATGCACCAGTGATTAGCAGTTACCTGAGCTATAAAATGTATATGATAAGGTTTATTAATTTAAGTCTAATTGGAAAATTCTATAAAAACACAATGTATATAAGGGACGTGAGGGAATCATAACTGTGATTTCCTAACAAAATTCTAAACATTGCTACAGGCACTCATACCCATATTTTCCAACATCATTATGAAAACCAGCTTAACCCATTAAAAATACTTGCCATCTTATTTTACAGATGACTGAGTGGAATTATGAGAGACAGTTGATACCAAAATGCCCTTCTGGAATAAATAAAAGTAAGCAATGCCTATTAATCATTGTCTTAAAGATTTAAATGTATTCTTTAGAATAAAGTCCCCAGAAATACAGCCCTTAAACATCATTTGGCTCCATAACTGTTCCAGCAACCTCAAGAGTGATTAGTCCTGCTACCTCTTCTCACAGGAAAAAGAAAAACCTCCTACCTCCTGCCCTATCCAAGTGGGTCACTGCTGCTTTTCTATTTGCTCAGCCTTCCCTACAGTGGCTGCCAAGTTCTAATGTGGTTCACTGCATATTTTAAATGCTAGAAGTGGTTATGGCCAAAGAAGGTCAAGAACACGGCTGCTGAGAAAGGATGGGGGTGTGCTTGGGAAAGACGGAGGCTGAGATTTAGGTCACCACTGGGGAGATGATTTGTGTTCACAGGATCCTCATTGTTTATTAGTACTCATGCATTCTTATGGCCTTTTTAAAATGTTCTAAATTAAGAGCAGCATTTCAAACGCTTCAAAGGTGATCTGGAATGATTTTAAAGAAAAATGATCCAATCATCCTGCACACAAAAATCTCTTCTGTAAACAGAACTAGGAAACATTTCATCAGTCTTAAAAATACTAATTCCCGTGATCAGCCTCCCTGAATCCTTCCCTTTCCCTAACAGACACTTTCCAGAGGGTCCATAGAAACTTCCAGGACCCAGGTCTGTGCTGCAGACACTGTGGAGAGGCAAGGCTGGCTCTTTCTCCAGCTGTCATCAATGCTATAGGATTTCTTGGTCCTGTTTTATTTTCTATGACTTATAAGAGTACTGGAACTTTAAAAAATGACCAATACAGCACAATTTTAGGCAAAATCTTAAGCATCAAGACTTAGCAAGCTTTTTCTATATTCCTAAGAACAAGAAAGAAAGAGCTATCTTAGAAGACTAGAAGTTTCTAAGGGCTTTCCAAAAGAACAAGCTTCCAAAAAATGGGGGAAGTAACAGAGTAACAGGATATCTTGATACTTGAATACAATCTTGATTTAATTTTACCACACATGGCATAATCCCTGCTTACAGAAGCTCTCAACCTCAGATTTGCCAGATAGTACTTCCAACTTGTTGTTAAAGATTACACAGCTAAACAAATGCAGTAGAAAATGGATGTGCATGGACAGCACACAGAGCTCTAAAACACAAAACCACGTCCACTGATGTGTTACCACATTGTCGAGATGCTCGGAAAATAATCAAAGATTAAGAATTTCAGGTTCCCTGCTCATGGTGCTGCCATCCTTACTGTGGAAGAACAATTTAAATCCACCCATACTCCTGTGCATATATACCTGCGAGGCAGAGGCAGCTGCCTACAACTACCCCTTCCCTTTCTTCTGTAGTAAGAGAACTGCAATTCTAAACCAGGCACAATCCTAATCTGGAATAAAGATTTTAACTCCCAGGTTCCCAGGTAGATGTGGCCACAACAGTAAGTTCTGGTCAGTATTAGGTAACAGAAATGTGCATTATCAAAGGATCCTTAAAAGTAAGAGACCACCTTCTACCACTTAGAATGTAGATCTCATAGGTAGAGCTCCAGCAGCTATCTGAAGATTACAGTGTGCCCAACACTGAGGACAGAAACTAAATGCTGATGATGGCCCCAAGACAGGAGCCTGAGTCCTGACGATACCCCATGAGCCACCACACCTAGGCCATGCTCTACCTACCCCAGATTCTTGTACATGAAAGAGAAATAAGCATTTATTTTATCAAGTTTCTTGTATTAGGGATCCATAAATCCATTTAATTTATGGCAACTGAAAATAAAAGTTAATAATATGGTATGTCTGACACACAGTCCAAGGAGCTTGCCTGCTCTGGGACAAGAAATTTAGCTTTACTCCTCTGCAGAAATTCTTTCACTCACCTAAAGATTACACAGCCAAACAAATCTAATAGAAATGCTGATCTAGCATCTTCCACAAGAACAAAAGCTTGAGATCAGCTCTGCCTCTATACATTCTCACTAACCCCAGCATCCTATCACTCCAATTCTATCTGTCCAACTCCTGGTGTCTCGCTGAAAGAACAGTAGTTATTTGATATAGTCCACTACTGACCACAGACTGGACAGAACTCACCAACTTCATGGCTTCCTTCCCCAAACAAAGAGTGTCCCTGAAATACAGACCCTGCATTAATGCCCAAAACTACTAAATTTTTCTGTTTCACTACTGCAAGAAGTAAGAAATTATAAGGCGGGGCCGGGGATTTAGCTCAGTGGTTCTGCCGCCTGCCTTGCAAGCACAAGGTCCTGAGTTCGATCCCTGGTACCAAAAAAAAAAAAAAGAAATTATAAGGACTATCTATAAGAGTACAGTGGAAGACACTCTTTAGTTTTATAAGTACCCATAATTAAACTAGGATCCTAATTACTCTTTAGTTTTATAAGTACCCGTAAGTAAACTAGGATCCTAATATAAAATATTAATAATAACAATAACAATATATATCATCTATTGATCGATATCATATGACTGTGGCTAGCAGTCTGCTTGAGATATACTATTTGAAATTCAAAATAAATATCATCCCTATTTTACAGATGAGGAGACTGAGGCCCAAAGAGGCTAAATAAGCAGATTCCCAGCTAGCTCATGGAACTGATTCCATGGAACTGATTACAATGAAATCCAGAATTGTTTATAAGCTTAAAAATATTTAGTTATATAATCCTGCTTCTCAAAATAGATAAAATAATACTAAGAAAATCTTTATTTTTGTCTTTTCTGTACTGCAATAAAACACTCCATTCATACCTCTACTTTTTATTAACAAGAGCATTTCTTAAAAGAAGAACAAGAAATAAAAAACTTGATAGAATTTGTCAACAAAGGCAAATAATGCTAGAACACAAATGAAATAAGTCACAAAAGTGATTTTCCTTAATTCCACACTTTGTTAACTAGTTTCATTTCAGGATGACCAGTATGTTTCCACAATAAGGGTTTTTATGCACATTTTAATTTGTAAACATCTAAACTAAAAAGAACACCTATAGTGACATGTTCTTGGGTAATTACAGCTCTGTACGCCATTTCTTTTGAAAACAAGTCTGTTTTATTTCCTACCTTTTTGTTGAAGCTTTGGCTTTAACAAAGGAAAGAACACAGAAAGAAATCAGGCCCTTAAAGCATTCACTGAATGCAACCATAATTTAGCCAGCATTTAAACAATGAGCTTAAAGTGGAAAAAAGAAATCTTTCAAGATACATTTACATATGTACATGTGTGTATGTGGAGGGTATTTCTACTTAATTAAAGATATATATTTTAAAACAGTGATTCCATTAGAAGTTTATCATTAGAATAATGAATACTTTCTTGAGCTGCTGAAAACTAAATTAAAACATTCCTAGGAGAAGAAAGTCAAACAGAAGGTTAGAGCTCCCTCTTTCTTCCTTTTGAAGAAATTCACTGAAACCCCTCTCCTAGAAGAAAACAAGTTACCAAGGGAACGGCCTAGCAGCACTGTTCCGGAGCCTCCGCACACATGCTGCAAGCATTAGAGTACACTGCTTGTTCATTATTCATAAATGATTTCAATAGTAGAAAAAAAGAACTTTTTAAAGTAGAAATACTCACAAAGCCATTTCAAACTGTTCCAGCCATTTTTTCTTTAAATCTTTTGTCTTGCAATAAAATTCCAACCCATTTTGTCCTTGAGTATGGATGAGGTAGAAGCCATAAGACCACTGTTAAAATTAACATTCTGTGGGTTAATATGTATCATTTATTAAAAATATCATGCCTTGAAATTCATTAAGTCAGTATGATACTCATCTGAAAGCCCCCTCATAACATTCTCAATACATAAACTGAACAATCCAACTTATACTACAGTCAACTGCTTCTCTATAACAAGTGCATTTTACTGTCTTGATCTCAGGGCCTTGGAGATGGTCAGGCCAGCTGTGGCACTGTCTCTCTACAGCTCACAGAGGCCTGCACCTAAGCAATCTCTGCAGACAAAGCACTTATGCCGATAAGCCACCCTCACACTAATGGACAGTCGGGCCTCTGTGTTCAAGAGTTCCAGAGCCCCAGATTTAGCCAAGAGCAAATGGAAAATATTTTTTTAAATTGCACCTGCATTGAACATGTTCAGACTTTTTCTTGTCATTGTTCCTAAACAATACAACAACTATTTACATAGAAATCAACATTGTATTTGGCATTATAAATAATCTAGAGATGATTTAAAGTATACAGGAGGATGTGCATAAGTTATGTGCCACTATGATGCCATTTTACTTAACGGAGTTAAGCACCTGCAGATTTTGCTCTCCATAATGGTGGGAAGGGAATCTTTGAAACCAAGGGAGGACTGTATTAGTATAATTTTTCTGAATATTCAGTGTTTTGAGTAAGTTATACTTATTGTCCAAGAAGTCACCTTCTTATTTTCTTTATCAGTTGTAGGATTGTTGGCTATCTTGTACTGCTGAAGATCTATGATTTCCTTCATTTCATAGTTATCACCTTTTCTTTTACATACAATCACTGCCAGATCAAATAAGAAGATGTGCCTGTGAAAGAGAGAGAGACTGACTGAACCATGTGTATTCATTTTTTCCTGGCAAGATGTAATTACACCAACCAAATATTCTTCCTTTGCATTAGAGACAACAGGCAATGTTGCAGATCAAAAAGAATTGAGAGACCCGACATTTTAAGAATGTGTGTGTCCAGGCACTATCCTTTACCACATAAATGGCCTCTTCACACCTAAGTTTCTTAATTTTAAAAAATGGTCAAAATCATAGTAAGAGCAAAACATACACTGCAGAGTGTCTGAAAGGACCAACTGAAGTTAAACTATTGAGTTTTTCATAAGCAATTACTTTTTAATTTAAAAGCTAAATCTCAGTAAAAATGATGGCAATAGCAGCTAACATACACTAAGTTACTAGCAGTAGGTTAGAACGCCTTGAGAAGGAAGCAGTCAGTCCTTTCACAAGCAGGGCTCAAGTTAAGCCCCCAAGTCCCTGCTGGTTAGGCATTATCATCTTCACCTTACTCAGGAGCAAACCAAACCTTATTGAAGTTAGACAATTTGCTCAAGGTCACATTGCCAGTGAGGTACAGAGCAAAAGTCACATCCAGGTCTAATTTTCAAATCTATGCTTTTACCCTTTATATTGCTCTTTATGATTTAATAGAACACCTGTACCATGAACTGAGTGTATGAACAAAATAGAAATAAGAGAAGTTATGGTTAAATTTCTTCTTTTTTCTTTCTTTTCTTATTAAAAAAACGGAAATTGGTGGAAGAAGACAAACCTTCTAACACTATCATGCAATACCAATATTTATATATTTCATAAACTCTCAGAGCTTAACATGCACATTTGTAACACAGTAATGACAATGATATATCCACAGAGCTCTAATACTTTCCTTTCTTTTAAAGTCTGTGGTTTAAAGGCTATGTGGCTCCTGAGAGCTACCTGAAGAGCCAGGGTATCAAAGTGGAAGCAAAAGCTGATGCTGCCCCCTGCTGGCTGATAATATCTTCTCCAAGGATTCCAGAAAACTATAAAAAGCATTAGTTTGACAATTGTGTGTGTGTGTGTGTGTGTGTGTGTGTGTGTATACAAAGACGACAGGCCAATTACTCCTTTAGTAATTTTCCTCCTACAAATTTCCCTCAAGAAAAATTATCACTACATGGTACTCAATTATTCTTTAGGACACTTCTACTATTTTTAGTTATTTTGAAGTGAATATCAAAAAATCATTTATGTATGGCAGTTATCTATCATTACTTCATCTCCATTATCATTTTAATGTGTACTTCTTTAATGTGTACTTTTTGAACTTAGCTGATCTTCTATATTTTTTATTTCATTCTTGAGAACTTAATGAAATCAATATAAACCAGAGCAGAAAGAGGAATACCTAAGATATCCATAACAGAAAACTTTAGGAACCATGGCCTGGCCTATCCTCTTGGTTTCCTTCTTTTTCCCTCCCTTCCTTCATCCTGGAAAAATTAACTACTTACTTTGAAAATAAGTTTTTGTCTTCTCTCCTTACCTTTCTTGTTTTGTATGTTTGTCCAGAGTGGTTATTCGAATTTCACCATCTCCCTGAGGTCGTCCAAAGAGCAAAACTGGCTGATTCTAAAATATAAATATATATGTCTGAGTTTTTCATAACCACATAGAAACAGAAACATTAATAAAGATATTTCCCCAGGACAACTATCTTATTACATTACAAGTTTGCACATATTTTTAGCACACTCACTCTGAAAAGTCCAGAACTATATGGTACACTAACAAAAGTCATCTGACCTTTGTAATCCCAGGGATTTACTGAGGACATTAATTAATTTTACTTATAATCTTAAAGGGGAAGTTAAATACCAGAAGAGATAAATAACTAGAATAATATGAATCACCAAAAAGAATTCCAGGTACTAATACTTGTTCAGCATCTACTTTATGTCCACCACAAACACAGGATAAAATGAGACAGACCCTGCCTGCCCTAATGGAACACACTGTCCAGGGAAGAATAAGTACTCACAGAGGCATGTGATTACAAATACAGATTGCCTTGAAGGAAACATACAGGACAGGAATCCAATTTGGTCTAGAGACTCAGGGGTGGCTGCCTTAAGCTTAGGTCTCAAAAATGAAAATTTCCAGCTTAATGAATAAAAATAATGATCTATTTTCCCAAAGGCAGACACTCAAATTTTTTAAAGTATTTATGAGTACTTATTGTGCTTACTAGGAGAAAAATAAACTATTATCACTAACATGTGAAGATTCTGTCAAGGGCAAAGATACGTTATTAATGATCTTTTATAAGAAAGTGTAACAACAAATGTTCCCTATCAAAATCCTGATGTTTTTGCAGAAATACAAAATTTCATCCCCAAATTCATATGGATCCTCCAGGGATCCTGAATAAGCCAAAATAAGCTTGAAAAAAGAACAATGTTGTGTATCTCATACTTCCTAATTTTAAAACTTACTCCAAAGGTACAATAATTAAAACAGTGTGACACTGACATAAAGACAAACATATCAACCAGAAATAAGCCTTCACATGTATGGTCGAAATTATTTTCAACAGGGGTGCCAAGAACATTCAAGGGAAAGGACCCCTTTTCAACAAAGGGTGCTGGGAAAATTGGATATCCACAAAGTTGAACCTTTCCTTTATACCATATATTGATTTATCCAAACTGGATCAAAACTCTAAAAGTCTTACAAGAAAATGGAGACAAAATTTATGATATTGGATTCAGCAAAGAATTCATGGATATAATACCAAAAGCATAAGCAACAAAAAAGACTGATAAATTAGATTTCATCAAAATTAAAAACTTTTGTGTCTCAAGGACACTATAAACTAAACAGTCAACCCAGAGGATAAAGTAAAGTGGATCCTCAAGTTACAACTAGCCTGATGTATGAACAACTTGGGTTATGATCAGAATTTTAGTTTTAACTTACAAAGTCTTGAGTTATGACCCAAATGCCAGCTGCTTGTGCTTCCAGATGGTCTCTGATACAGATTTAACCCTTAAAGAGTTCTGGAAGGGACATTATTACATCCTTTCCTGTGTGGGGTTAACTGAGAAATCCAGGCCAACGTCTCTCTAAAGACACTGAGATCTGCCTGGAAAAAAGAGTGACTTAAAGTTTTATAGCAGAGAGACTTTGAAGGCAACTGACCAATCTGAATTATAACTAGGCCTCAGGAATGAATTGAGTTTGTAAGCCAAGGATCCACCATATTTGCAAACCATTTTTTTCATAAGAAATTGGTAGGCAGGTTGTGCCAAAGATGCCGAATCAGCCGCTGCAGACAGGCAGGTCTGCGCACGTCCTGCCGAGGTCCGGAGTCGCACAGAAGACGTTGAATCAGCCCACACCCCGGCAACAATCCACTGGACCCCCGCTCCTCTGTAAAGCCACCTGGTTCCACACTACAAAGATGCAGAGGACACCAGACCACCAGACCACGGTAATGAGTCCTGCTGCTCCCGGCCCAGAGGTAGGGGCTTCTGAGCCACCATCCCATTGCTCCTGGTCCAGAGGAAGGGGCTTCCCGGCCACCATCCCTACCGCTGCTCCCAGCCCAGAGGAAAGGGCTTTTGGGCCACCTTCTGTCCCACCGCTCCTGGCCCAGAGGTAGGGGCTTCTGAGCCGCCATCGCATTGCTCCTGGTCCAGAGGAAGGGGTTTCCCAGCCACCATCCCTCCTGCTGCTCCCAGCCCACAGGAAAGGGCTCTTGGGCCACTATCCCTATCACTGCTGCCGGCCCCTGTCCCACCTCTCCCAGCTCACAGGACGTAATCCGTGCAGGTTCCAACAGTGCACCCCCCAGCCCAGTCAAAATGAGAAAACACATAAATAAGTCTCAAAACCAGACTCCCAGATCACCTAGAGCAACCCCAAAGGGAAATGAGATGGAACCCTCTGATACTCAACCACCTGGACCCACTGAACTGGCAACAAAAGCGGATCTGGAAAAAATGAAATCAGAAATAATTTCTCAGACAACAGGAGAAATTGTGCCCCTAGTGCAAGACATGATTAATAAATCTAGAGAGGAACTGAGGAACATGATGGAATCTCAACATAGGAAACAAATGGAATCCATAAAACAGATGCTAATAGATTTCCGGGACATGAAAAACTCCACTGAAAGTCTACACAGCAGAATGAGCCAATGTGAGGACACAATTTCAGATATAGAAGATAAAATTGCAACTAATGACCAGGAAAAGAAAAACTGCCTCAAAATAATAAGGGAACAGGAGAAATCAATCCAGCAGCTGCTAGATGATGCAAAAAAGAATAACATAAGACTAGTGGGAGTCAATGAAGAAACAGGGAAGAATGCATATGACATAAAAGATCTCTTCACAGAAATAATGGCAGAAAACTTCCCAAGCAGGGGAAAAGAGCTTGACATACAGATAAGTGAGGCATATAGGACTCCA